AAAAAAAAAAAAAAAAAAAAAAAAAAAAAAAAGGAAAAAGGAAACGTAAAGCTGTTGTATCATGCATGTATGGCAGCTGTATTATGGAACCTGTTATCTTCAAGAAGTGACACGTGGATGCCGTGTCATGAACAATTAATTTTTTTTTTAATAAATATTCAATCTAAATATAATTATCAATTATATAATATTCAGCCTAATATTAATATTTGTGTGACATTATGCTTGATTTATAAAATTTGAGTTATAATATAGAGTAAAATACACTTTTAGATTTTAATATTTAAACTTATTGGCTCCGTGATTTTGGTTGATATTTTAATTAAATTTTGATTTGTTCTTTCAAATTTAGAAACATGACATTTTAGTTTGTAATTGTTATATTCCATAAATAATGTAATCCATTTATCGCGAGGAAAATGTATTACCCGCCGGCGCCGCCCACGAGCCAAGTAATTGCACCACACAACAATCATTTTTCAGCTTCCATTTTTGGTTCTGCGATTAAAGAAGAGCAAATCGGACGCCCATTTTGTGTGATCTTGAAAAGAAATCATGGGTTCGAATCAAAACCCTACCTCTGGTTTAGCTTCCTTTGCAGTTCGATCAAAATGGCTGTTGTCCGCTCACTTTCCATGCCAGGGTTGGCGTTCACTTCTCAATCCGCTGGCTACAAGCTCAGTGACTTGGTCTTGGTGTATAAAGCTTCTCTGTGTTCTCATCTGGGCAACGCCCGAATTCTAGATAGGAACAAACCTAGATGCCATAATCCCTAATTAATCTCCGATGAGTATTGCAGAGAGCGATCTGCGAGAAATTCTGAGTTCAATCGTAAGAATTTGGGGTTATCCAGAAGGCTTTTCTGGGGCGAGTTTGAGGACTGAAAAGTTCGAGTAGCTGCAGATATTGGTGAGCTATATACCTCTTTCGAGTTTTCCGGATTCTTGGTGATTATTTACTAATGTGGGTAGTCTATTGAAACTAGTTTAGCTCATGCAATACAGTGATATAAAGTGACAATTGCTGTTAGATTTGCTTAACTTTAAGATCTGAACTTCTTTGCTGATCCTCATCTCTGGAATCTCTGGAATGAGTTGGTGAATAAAAGTCCCACATGGATGATGATGAGTTTATAATCAAGGAATACTCTCCCCATTGGCATAAGGCCTTTTGTGGAAGCCCAAAGTAAAGCCACGAGAGCTTATGTCCAAAGTTTTGTGGAGAGTTGTGTTCATCTAACATGAGTTACCTGTTTTATAGACTATACAACTCGTTTGTTCTGAGTTCTGGTTACCTCTTTAATGGCATCTAGCTTCTTCTTAGTTTGGCTAGAGTTTCACTGCCCTGATTCTTTCTACTTTGACAGGGATTGAAAAGAAATCCCCCATTTTGGATGCTGTCCTTCTTTGGCTACTCGGTTGGTTGAGGACCTTGGCGGGAGTTTTGATGTGAGAATGCAGTGTCCGTCATGTTGCAGTAGCTTTACATTGTTAACGGTAACAACCCAAGCCCGCTACAAATATTGTCTTCTTTGGGCTTTCCCTCAAGGTTTTATAACGCGTCAGATAGGTGGAGGTTTCCTCATCCTTATAAAGAATGTTCGGTTCCACTCTCCAATTGATGTGGGATCTCACATTCCACCCCCTTGGGGCCCAGCGTCCTCACTGGCACATCGTCCGGTGACTGGCTCTGATACCATTTGTAACAGCCTAAACCCACCGCTAGTAAATATTGTCTGCTTTGACCCGTTACGTATTGCTGTCAGCCTCGCGGATTTAAAATGTGTTTACTAGGGAGAGGTTTCCACACCTTGGTAAGGAATGACTCATTCTACTCTCGGACCAATGTGGGTTCTCACATTAGTTGAGTAACAACCACTGCGATAACTGTTTAGAGATAGATCACGAGTAGGTCACATCATATTTATACATTTACGATTCATGCGTCAGTAACCAATTTGTCGACGAATAGAAAAGGAGTGTTTGGACCAAAAAAGAACATTTGAACAGAATGTTTCTCTTATTAGAAAGAAAATGAAAACTTCTTCCAACATTCTATGATCATGGATTGAGAACTAAACTCTACTGTTTCAGGCTATATTTGGATGCAACTGTTCTAGCTAGATGCTGAAGTGGAAAGCACCTCCGTGAGCAAGCCAAACTGACAGTAACGTGTTCATTTTTCCTTCGATGCTATCACCCGTTTCGGAAGGTAAGTTTCCTTCTTTTAGGAGTACAATACCAATAAAGTTTCCAAAATGGAGATTCTTACTATTTGTTAGACCTTGCAACAACTCAAAACAAGCTCAAGTAAACCAATTCTCTGAATGTTCTTGTACCGAATCACGCGTTTCTGTTATATTAACTTCCTGAGTGAAGGCTTATCCTCCTCAACGAAATGTAAGCCAGGAGACGATACCCGAAAACCATGGCGACGAGTGCAGTAATCTCAACTACTCCATTGTCCATTCTCATACCGTTCACGGCAGGTATGATGTTATTGTACTGCACCTTTAGAAGGAGCTTGTACGTGTGATAGTTGAACGACAAAAAGCGGATCCAAGATACAAACACTGGAACTTGCTGCAGAAGTTTCACCCAAAAGTGTTGATAGCAAAGACTACAGATGCAGGTTTGTTCTTTGTTCAAAGTATATGAACTAAAAACCAAAGTTTAGAGATTAAAATAGAATATAATCTTACCTGTACGAAGAATCCACCAGCAAGCATGAAGGTCATGACGGTGACGGAGGCGAAAGTCGTGGCCTTCTTGACGTCCATGAGTGAAGCTCCAATGGCCAAACCAAGCCCCTATGTTGGAAGAGTTCCTTCACATTAGTCTTCCAAACAAACCAAATGAGCTCCAAAGAAGAAGAAGAAGGCATACCTGAGCAGCCACAATGGAGAGGAAGACAGTGACCATGGTGAGGAAGAAAGGAGCAGCACTAAGCCTTAGGCCTGCCATGAAGTAGACAACGAGAAGGAAAAGGATAGGCAGCAAGAGATCAAGAGGAAGATCACTAGTGGTTCTTGCCAAAAAGTAAGCACTCAATCTATACATATCTGCTGCTCTTTCTTTGCTCAGCATTGCCCTTTCTTGAGGAAATGTGAATATTGCTGTGAACACAGGGAAGAAACCCCAGAACACTGCTATGAAGAACAATAATCCTGCCTACAAAATGTAATTTTATCTTATTACATTCATGAACAGAAAATCAAAGCTTAATTTCAAGCTTCAAAGTTTGTACAACAATGGAGGAGTTGAATTACCTGATCTTGCAAGCCTTTTGGAGTGCTGCTATCCGAATGCCACCACAGTAATCCTAAAATTATGGCGGTGACGAGAACTTGAGTGATTCTCAGCCAGCTGAAGTATTCATGGCGTCTTTCTTTGATTCCTCTTCGGTACAGAATCGAGTATTGTTCCCACCAGCTTGCTCCCCATTGCCTTTTTGAATATGTTACCTTCGATTTCAACTCTTCATCGAGCGTTAGAGGTACCAACATCTCCCTCTTTTCTGTTTCTGCAATTCTCGTCTCGTAAGCCTCCACCAGATACTGCAAAGATTATTGTATTCGAATCAATCCATCGTATTAAAATCAAAGCTAAAGAAGTCGAGATTAAACATACCTCTTGCACAAGAACTGGTAAAGGTTTATCCTGTGTATTGTCAGCCTCAGAATTCTCTATTTGCACCTTATCCTCTAGCTCTGATGGAACAGACACATCATTCAGGTTACCATTTGCAAGATCAAGCAAGAATTCAGCAGGATTCATTGCAATTAGTGGGGAACATCCTATAGATGAGAAATAATTTATTGCTTCAGCTGCTTTGCCATAATAGATCAAGCTTCCCTTTCCAAGAAGAATTAGCTTGTCAAATTTATGAAATAGTCTGCTTGATGGTTGATGAATCGTTGTCACCACGGTCTTCCCCGCCTGCCATTGAAGAAAAACTTAAATCATTCTATGATGAAGTTAATCAGCAAAACAGAAGAAGAACGTGCATTGATGATATATACTTCAGCTATCTCATGTAAAATCTGAACAATTTTCAATGCAGTTGTAGAATCCAAGCCCGATGTCGGTTCGTCAAGAAACAGCAGTGACGGATTGATTAGAATCTCATTGCCTATAGAGACTCGACGCCTTTCTCCACCTGAAACTCCACGGACAAAGGAGCCACCAATCATTGTATCCTGGCACCTGCAGAGGCTATATCGGTGAGCGCCTAATCTAGAAGGATGAACATCTTATGCTTCCATTAGAAAAAGCTGCAAATCCTTACCTTTCAAGGCCCAGCTCATATATGACATCGACCGCACGCTTTTCCTTCTGCTCTTTCGTCAATGTTTTTGGCAGTCGAAGCAAAGCTGCATATCTCAATGTTTCTTTCACCGTCAGGTGGGGAAACAGAACGTCCTCCTGCATCACGAATCCTACCCTGTAATGCCATTTTATTTTCTTAATTACCGTTCTACATCTGTATTTTCTAATTGTATCATGAACTCTGACTAGAAATCTTGCCTGCTTTTCAGGAACTTATTGTATGGCTGATCATTGTACGTAATCGAACCACCAACTGTAGACCGTATGAGCCGTCCTCCAAGCAGATTGAGCAATGTTGTCTTGCCACTTCCTGAAGGTCCCATTAACGCCAGAACTTCACCAGGGTTTACTAAACCGGTAATACCATTCAAAATCTCCTTCTCCACATTTGTCCGCAATCCTTTTATGATTACTTTATAAGTAACATCCGTGAACTGCAAAATATTTGATCCAGACAATAGGATGAGTTCAGTAAAAGTTAGAGATGGCTATGTTTTCCTAAAGAAATGGAAGTAGGTCCGTAAGCGTTGAATTAGCTTCTTCGAGTCTTAAAACAACCCGATTCTCTTGACGAGCATGAACTAAATATTTAAAAAAATGAGCTAATCTAAGATTACAAGACAATTATCCTTTTGAAGTTTTTTAGTTATGTTTCTGCTGCTTTTTATGTTCTCTAAGTTAGGTGGAAAGATGGGATGAGTCTTGTACATGAATTATCATATAAAATGAAACCTCGTACAAGACTGAACCTGACCATGCTATAATTTGCATGCTAGCTTAGCCATGTTCTATGGGGGTTGTGCTTTTATCTCTACATCAATCTTCCTGTCTTTTGCCTGTCCAAATAGATAGACATAAGTTCATTTGCTATCAACAAAAACAACACATACAATTCTGAAAACATTCTTTGTTTTTTTGTCTTTTTGTTGTTTTTTTTTTTTTATTATCAAAGATTTAGGTGGCCATGTTTTGTGGGAGAAATCACTGTATTTCAATGATGAAAGAACACTTTATTTACCTTGAGCTGAATGGGCATGGTTGGTTCTGTTTGAAATTTGTTCTTGCCTGTTCCTGCTTCTACATCCTCTGCTGTTATATTATATGCATATAGACGTTAAACGGTTGAATTGGGACTTTACCCCAAGCTACTTGATTGATTCTTGAAAATATACTTGATAACTTGCAAAATACGAAAATTCAAACGAACACCCCCATGTAGTTTGATGAACTCGGACCTCTCCCTTCCGAGTTAACTCGAGCTTGATTCACTCTATTTATAACGAATTCCTTAATTAGTGACTAACATACACCTAGTGCCTTATTAACATTTTTTGGTAGCTAATAATGGACTAAAAGCAGTCGGGAAGAGTAAAAAATGTCAACTAGATATACAGGGCAGGAGTCAAAGGTAGGTAGGGAATTTGAGCCTATAAATATATGAAATTTAAGTCTTCAAGGACTTGACTTTTCCATTAAATAACACAAAACATATCTAAATTTGTGGGCCATGGGTCACTCTGCAAGTTTGATTCCAAGTTCCAACTAATAGCCTTTTCCTTTTCAAGTTTGTGTGAGATCCCACGTCGGTTGGAGAGGGGAACGAAGTATTCTTTATAAGGGTGTGAAAACCTCTCCCTAGCTGACACGTTTTAAAAACCTTGAGGGGAAGCCCGAAGGGGAAAACCCAAAAAGGACAATATCTGCTAGCGGTGGGGTTGGACTGTTACAAATGGTATCAAAGCTAGATATTGGACGATGTGCCAGCGAAGACACTTAACCCCAAATGGGGTGGACATTGGGCGGTGTGTCATAGAGGACGCTGGGCTATGAATGAGGATGAATTGTGAGATCTCACATTGATGGGAGAGGGAAACGAAACATTCTTTTAGAACATTCTTTCAGATCGAGTGAGGGAAAAACTCTGAATTTGTACCTAGAGTACTTGAATTCGGAGGGTTATTAACGATAGAGCCAAAAAGTACACTAAAATATAAAACAAGAGTAATTTATTTTATTCTAAGTTTTAAGTATTATGAACATAAATTGGTATGACTAGAGAGAGAGAGAGAGAGAGAGGCAGAAGGTCAGACATAGACAACCACAAGATTTGAGAGCTTTTATTGCTACACCCATTTTTAGTTTTCCCATTGTGAGGGAAACCATGACACTTTCTCTTTATCAAACAAAAAGGGGACCAGAAAAAATTGAGTATAGGTTTCTAGCGAACTCTTCCGAATGACTCATACCGGAACGCTCTCTCATCTTCAACTCTTTCTGCCTTACTCAACACATTGTGTGGACCATATCAAAAAAGTTGGACGAAAACACGAACATGACAAGAAAGTAGATGATGATGAACAAGACGACGACAAAGATGAAAAATCTTTGAAATTAGCAAAATATAAAATTAAGAACGACTTACGTATATCTTCATCACTGAATGGCTTAAAATCTGCAATTTCATCAGGTGGCAAAGTGAAGCCATTGAAGGAGAATGACAAACCCAAGCTAGCACTTGAAGCTCTACTCAAAGCTGCACCACTGCCCAAATCATCCAAATCCAGCTTCAGCTGTGCACTCCTGGACTTCCTGATGTGTGTGTTTCGACCACCGCTGCCACTGCCACGCCCTGGTGAAGGAGCTGTCAACGTCTGCCTACTCGACTTCCTCGAGAGGGTTGTGCTGCCACTCTCCCCCACCACCCCACCGTTCACCTCGCTGCTCGACGTCGGAGACTTGAATGCTGCTGCCACCTTCTCCAAAAGTTGATCGGATTTCGTCCTCGCTAGGGCTAATGAACTCGTTGGCTTCTCCATGTCGCCTCCAACCTTCTTTCTTCCTAGTGTTGACATAAAAATATTGGTTTGACATTCATAATTGTGAAAGAAGATTTATTTTTAGTTCATATTGACCATACCTTTTTTGTGATGTTGAAGGAGAGGGGAGATTCAGAAGTGAAGAACTTATAGAGAGAGAAAGAGTTGGCTCAATCTATTGCACCTTCAATGGTACACATTCACTTCTTATATAAACAGCAATAAGAGGAAGAAACAGTTCATTTTTCACTACCAAAAACACCCTTATGTTATATCCCATATTTCAAATTTGCCCAATATCCCATATTTCTGCCCATGATATTAATAGATTTTTAGGAGGAAACACACTTTGTACTATCTCACCTAAGCATCAATCCTTCTCAAACAGCCCTACCATCTTAGCCGTACACGTGTACCTGTTTACAATTTTCGTATTTTACGTTTCGTTTCTTTTTTGTAAGTAGCCCTTGAATTTAACCCTTACCGAGACGAAGGGCATGATTGAAAAATGTAACAACTTAAGGGACTAAATTGAAAGAAAAAAAAAAGATGAGACCGAGTTTAACATATATGAATGTGGTCGTGAAAAAAAAAATTGTGTTCGAGTTTGAGGTCCCTTTTGGTGGCCAAATGTGAGGCCATTCTTTCTTCTTACATTACCTCTCCACAAAGGAACTCAACAAAGCTTTTGGAAGCTTGTTTTCATCCACTTTGATGTTTACTTTTTTTTTTTTTTTAAATGAATTAGGGTGTCTTGTACATACACCCAATAACTATTTATTTAATAACATTTTAAAAATTAATAATATATTTAAATATATTAAACAAATTTAAAGATTTATTAGACACTTAAAAAAAAATCAAAATTACAAAATTAAACTTATAATTTAATTAATTAGATGTCTTAATATTTTGATTTAAAATTTGTGTCATAAACAAGGAATGAGTTGTGGCATTAAGATCTTATCCACTCATCATTAAACACATATCCTCTCCGTCTTTAATGCCTCATATTATATCTAAGTCTCTAGAACTTTTCTCCTATTTCAAAGAGACGGATTAAATTATATTCTAACTCGAGCTTATTATAATTAAAAATCAATATTTATATTCGAGAGTAAAAATTATGCACGGAATTGTTCGTGTTCACGGGTCGTTTGATGTTTAGATATAAAAAATGAAATCTTGTTAGGACTTCTCCTTCCTCTAAATGACAAAGTTCAGTGGACGTCTTGCAACGTTATTAGCAATGCACTGCTCACGTCGCCGCGATCCGGACACTTCACCTAATCATTCAATCAGTAGGAGCGATAAGCAGTGTGTACAAAAAGCAGAGACGTAGTCAACACGAGTTGATGATTCTCGTATAAATTTCATGTTTTAAATGGGTATCTAAAATTAGAAAGTCCCGTAGGATTTAAACTTAGGATGAGGATAAGAATTATAGCCAAATTCATTTTAACGTGGGAATGAAATAAAATGTATAATAATTGAGAGAATTTTGAGTGAATAAATATGATTGTTTAGTTATTACTAACTTAGCATTAATTAATAATTACAGTAATTAAATAACATTAAGAAAGATTTATTAAAACAAGTAAAATATAATATTTTATTTTTTTAGTGGCGAAATTTAAATTTGGCCGTTCATGGCTTATCGAGTTTTTTATCTTTAAAAAAAAATATATATATATATTAAAAGTTCATTAATTGAATAATCGAAAAAAAACAATGCCGGAGAGGAAAAAACAGATGACGATAGTGACCAGTAAAAAAGAAGATAATAAATAGATAAGAAGAAACAAAAACGAAGAAAAATAGTTTATCTCGTAATTAAACGAATAAAACAAAATAAAATAAAATAATCAATAATATATATAATATTTATGGACCTTTTGACAATTAATGCAAAAAGTAATGAATATAATTTTTTTAACTTATTATTTAATTTAATTTAATTTTTTTTTTTAAATATTAAGAAAATTTTAGAGCTAATGGTAAGCACTAAGAGATGTCTTTTGGTTGAGTGATTGCTCATCCTCCACCCACCACAATCTGCCACGTTTCACCCTTTAATTATTAATATTTTATTAATCCTTTTATTTAATTACTATTTTAGCTCAAAATTACCCAACTAGATAGAAGTTTAAAAAATAAATGAGATTAGTGATGTTATAATTAAAATTTAAATATAATTTAATAATATAAATTACATACGATTCTAATCCTATAAAAGACTTAAATTAAAAAAATAAAATATAAAAATTGAGAAATAGAAATATGAATTTTAATAAATAAATGGATAAACAAGAATTGAGAGATGAAAAGTACCAAGTGGGAAAAGGCAAAGAGTTGTCGTTTTGATGGGTAATGCCAAAGCAAACGCATTTAAAACCCCACCCTTCAATTTATTTATTTATTTATTATTATTATTATTATTATTATTTGGTTCGAAAAATGTAATACAGAAAAGCCGGTGCCCGATTCATCAGGTAATACCACGTGACAGGGACGTGACCTTCTTCTCTGTCACCGGCCCCTCCATTTTTTATAAATTAAATTAATAAATTTGGTCTATAAATCGTATCGGTTTAGTTTGGGTTAAATAGATTTATAAATTTTAAATAATTTTTTTTTTAATTAGAAAGGAAAAGAAAACTTTATTCCAAACAATTATCAAAACTCCCAGCTTTAAATATCTTTGGCATTGACTTGTACAGGAAAATATATTTTAAGTCTTTTAAAATTCGAAAATAAGAAAAAAGAAAAAAGAAAATGGAAGCCAGCTTACCCGTCATTCTCTTGCCACGTTTCAGGATTAGAAAGAACGAATTGTTACGTGACAGCTAGAATAGGGTGACTGGCTGTCAGTCATCACCGGAATCAGCGACACGTGGCACAAGGATAACGGAATTTGAACGTGGTCCTTCCACGTGGATTTATAGATCACGCATTTAGGATGGGACGTTTAATCGTATCTTCTTTTTTGAAAAAAAAAAGAAAAGGAAATATGTGTTTTTTAATTTTTTTTTTGCCAAACGAAATCTTTTTGGCTTTCGTTATCAAGATTTGACTATTTTTGGTATATTTTTAATTTAATTTATTTAAAAAGCACTAAATTGTTTGTAGTGGAATTGGAATTTTAAAACATTTCTCCAATTTCAGTGCAATCAATCAATCAATTCAAAGGTTTGCCCAAATTGTCAAATTTCGTATTTAGGTTTAATTACTTCAATTTTATCAAGTCAACATACTTGTTTTTTTTTCCTCGAAAATTTTTAGTAAGTTATTATTCTTATTTAAAAAAAAAAGGTTTTACTAATAATTTATTTATTTTTAGAAAGGATGTTTTGTAGGATTTTTTAACAAGAATTTGAGAATGTGTAATTCCAAATCTTCCACCCACAATTATGAGGCCTAAAATAATTAATATATTTATTCATAGAACTAGTTTATCTGAACTAGTAATTTTGAAACATTTCTTTAATATATTTTTAATTGAAAAAATAAACTAAACAAATTTTGATATAGACAATGCATTTTAAGTTTAATATGATCCTTAAACTTTTAATTTTGTTTTAAGGTTAATGTCTATTATAATTTAACATGTCAATACATATATTCAAAATTACATTACTAATTGGTTAGGAATATAAAAATGGATAATTAATATGATTGATTTATAATGTTCACATTAAAATCGATATTTTCAAAATTTAGAAACTAAATAGAACAATCCAAGATCAAAATAGAAATTTGAAAATTTTAAAGATCAAAAGTTTAATTACCAAAATATAGAATTTAAACCAAAAATTAGAAACTCATCGTTATGAAAAAATATATATAGATATATATGACTCTAACGATCTAACCAACAATTTTATCCTATGACAAAATTCAATCAAATTTTAACTTTGTTATTCATTCTTAAATATCTTCTTTTAACGTATAGATTTAATTGTGCCGTAGTCTTTAATTTAATTTGCACCTTTAATTATGAAAAATTGCCCACCTAATTATAAAATTTGACAATTAAGTGATAAGTACCAATATAAATACTACAAATATCCATTATTAATAATAATAATAATAACAAGAGAAGATAATAATTAAAATGTTCAACAATATACATCCATTAATAGTACGAGAAAAGGAAAAGAATTAGAAAGTTAAGAAACCTACTTTTAGGTGACTTGCTTGACTTATCACATGCAAAGCCAAAGGCGATGAAGGCCACCAAGAGGCATCATCATCCACATGACATGTGTGGACTTGGAAGCACCAACCAAAGAAGAGATAGCTTGGAATAATTCTCTGCCAACAAGATCATTAGAGAAAGATGTTCTAACAAACAACATCAAGTTAAAACCATTTTAAATCAAACAGTGCTAAGTAGGAAACTAAGATTTGAAATCAAGGCCAACCAATTCAAAATAGGCATTTTTTTCGAACACCTACATCCCGGCGTTTTTGTGCAATAGACCCCTCCGACCGAAGATTAGTGGTAGGTGGTCACTGAATATTGTACAGAATTCACTATTCAAAGATGTTTTTGTGTAATCTAGGGACCTTCTGCATTTGTCAAAAGTGTGTAGGTCACAACGCTGCTCTTTCCTTCTGTGTGTATTAAATGTGGAAAGTTTTTGATGATAGGGAGGAAAGAAACAGCAACAAAATGGTTCATATGGTGCGAGAGGTGAAATGACAAACAGAAAGGTAACTGATTAGAAGGTGACAGCGGTTGGTGGGGATTGGACAACTTTTTTCATTACCTTCTCCCACTTTCATCTGCTGGAAAGAGGCTTGAAAATGAAGGGAAAACCTAACTGTATTGAGGTTATTGAAAAGTAAAAAGAAAAGGCCAGTTATGTGAAAAAGAAGAAAGACTGAAAGAAAGAAGAAAAAGGAAGAAAAAAAAAATAGTGTTAGGTCAGAGATCATGTGCTATTTAGTCCACAACAAAAAAATCATGTGCTTCAGCCAGCCATGACTGAAGTAGAGGGGCCCTTGGTTATTAAGGTAAACATGGGATTTAAAACTGAAAATATCCATTAATATTCAGATCCAGATAAGAGCGTGAGATTATGATATCAAAATTAACTGAAACAAAATAAACGAGATGCATAATCCACACTATAAGCCAGCTCAATTATATAATACAACTTACACAACTTTTGAGAATCTCTCAAGAATAGATCAGTCAATTTCAACGAAGAACTCCTAAATTTGTATGCTTCAACTCAATTTCAGGGTAGAATTTTACCTTTCAGATCCTTGGCAAATTTGCCTTACGGTAACTTTGTGAACTGTTGCAAGTAAATGATATAGCTTAACGTTTAGGAAAACCTTCCACATATGCAAGAAACTCTACCAGCTTTTGTCGACCATCCACAATCAGAAAAGCTTGTCAAACATAAAATTGACCACAGTGAAGTACTAACATTTATTGGCACATGGTTATTGCCGGACACCTAGAATTAATAAAACAATGCATGTACATGCTTGTAATACGACAAATAACTAGGAAACGAAACTCATATGAGTGTGCTATGCAACTTTATGGATAGCTGGTACATTATTTGAATCAATACAGGGGCAAGATGAATGGTATGTCTTGATGCCAAACAAAAAAACCAAACAAATACAGGTTTTACACGCCTTGTCGTGTTAGCATGTCACCCGTTGTCATCTTATCAAGGGAACTGATAATTGAATAAAAGGTTTATATACGAATTCTGCCATATCAACAATACATGTTCACAATTAAAAAGCAGATGTGTAGCATTTATGAAAGTAGATGGTTGTGGTAACTAAAACAAAAAGGAAAAACATGGATAACTGTTCTCAAATAGAAGAAACTGTAGATGATGTTAATATAAAAAATAAAAATTAAAGGAATAAACCAGTGGTGCCAGGTTTCACACAAAGGAAGTCACAGCTCGCAGGCAATCTATTAAGAGAAGATGAGAATCATTAGAAGCATAGAACCTGACAAGAAAGCGATATCCCATCCTTTCCAAAATCACTGAATTGTTATTGTTGCTCCATATCCTGTTCCTCCTTCAATGGTAATTCACATGAGAAGTTGGAAACAAAAAATGGTTTCTGCTGGTAATCCAACATACCTAAAGTATTCATTATATCTTGAGCTCTCAATTACACCCAACTAAACAAGGAAGGATTTCTAGTCCCCACCCCACCCCCAAAAAAGAAGAAAGAAGAAAGAAAAGAAAAGGGAAGAAAATCATGTTCATTATCTCAGACGATATCTTATAGTTAAAGAGAAGAACTTACGTGAAGATACTCAATGAGGCAGTGTTGTAGTAATTCTCAAGTCACATGTTGAAACCACTATTATCAGTATCATGTCTTCAGCAAAGACAGTCAGTCAACAGTAACTGAGCAGAGTAGTCCTTGTACAATAATAAAAAATAGTACCCCCCATAATCATATAACAAAGAACAAGAATTAAAGAATGATCAGCATTTTCAATTAAAAAACTTGAAATCTATTCCAAATTAATTGCTCAATATAAAACAAATCGATATGGACAAGAAAAACAATAACAGTAACAAGAAACTAACTCTCCCTCTGAAGCCTGTCATCTTTACAAACAGCATTAATTTCAACCTCTAACTATTAAAAAAGAAAATGGTATTGGGCCTACTGGCCAGAAAATAAATAAAATCGTCTTCTTGGTCGGGAACCAGAATTAGGCATGTTAATAGTTAAGCCTAAAGGCCTTCCCTAATTCCAATCGTCACGCAGCTTTACACTCACCTCCGACCAAAACCAGTGTCTTGCATCATAGCCACAAACTCGCTGTAATCTATTCGACCATCCTGAAAAGAAATCAAAGGCATGGTTATAAGAATGGAAGGCAACCCTTCTCTATTTCATGGTCATTCAAGCAAGAAAGGGAGTCAATAAGACTAGATAATCAAGAGGATAAAAATTACATTATCCTGGTCAACTTCATGCATAATATCTTCTAAGCGGATGTCTGACAAACCGAACTTTTCGCAAGCTTGTTGGAGCTCGTCCTGTGTGATGTATCCACTTCCATCTTTGTCGAAGTATGAGAAGGCAGCAAAGAGATGGTCCTCTTTCTGAACCTTGTTTAAATGGAGCATTGCAGCTACAAACTCACCATATTCTATGGTACCACTATTATCGACATCCGCCTGAAATATTGAATTGAAAGAATACTTAAAACCATATGAATCAGAGTATTCAGTAACATTCAGTTCACTGATAACAAAGGAGTTTCAGGACGTTGGAATGTACCATGAACAATTTATCTCAGTAGATATAATAAAAGAAATATGCGTTATGCTTCTGTAGCGAAAATATTTTTCTCTTAATATGTGTAACTATTTTAGAATATAGCATCACTTACAGCTTGCATTAACCCATTAATTTCAGAATCCTTAAGATTAGCGCCCACTCTTTCCAAGCCACGCTTCAATTCCTCAAGGGTTATTTGGCCACTATTGTCCGTGTCTATCATCTTAAACATCTCTTTGAGGCCAGCAATTTCCTCTTCAGAAAGGCTCTCTGCAATAACCTACAAATGGAAAACAGGTTGAGCAAAGTCCCTCACCGGAATTGAGAACATAATCAAAACAATAGCCTTCAGAAAGGATCTTGAGCCAGGTTGATGAAAACTTTAGGAAAAAGATCTCAAGCAACGAAAACACAAACTATAAATCAAGGAAACACTTTCATAGTTGCTTCACCAAAATTAATTCAAGTCGTTATATGCATTTTTATGTTCGTACAAAATGTGTTTGGTAGATGCACATTCAACACTGCAAGCCATGCTATCTGGCAGTTCGTTGGATCTCCTGAATCATAGAGCTGTAAGATGAGCACTCACTCTAATTGCTATTTTCTTGAGCCTGTTCATGGCAGAGAAATGATTCAAACGACTAAGAACAGCTGAATCAAGAGGCTTGTCAGGAGCAACTCCATTAGCTTTCACCCATGGGTGGCCTGCAAAATCACGGTCCTATTAGAAAGCAAATTAAACATACTGACATTGTGATATACTAAGAAACCAGTAAGAATAATTGTTACAGGTAACAAATAACAATGAAAACCATATCATTTTAGATCCATAGTTGAAACCAAATTACAATAATCAAGGATCCACATCGAAGAATCTTAACTTGAATTTTCAGAAATTAGTGAAAACTTTTCGGTACTATGGTGAGACAATTATGAGTGCGTGCACCAAAGATTGAACTTACAAAGAACTTCGTGGGCTGTTAGTCTTTTTTTGGGATCTCGTAGAAGCATTCTCCGCACTAAATCTTTTGCATCCCCAGATATACTAGGCCACGGTTCTGATACAAAGTCAAGGTCACCTTTCAAAACCTGCTCAAATATTCCTTGCTCCGTCTCTGGACACCAAACACAACAAGAATTTTATTTACATAATCTATGTATCTAAAGTTGGTTACCTATGAAAACACTATTTAGTAGCTGGAAAATCCAGAAACTCACCATCCCAGAACGGAGGCACACCACTTAGTAAAATATATATGATAACTCCAGCGCTCCATACATCACATTCTGGCCCATAAAGCTTCCGCAATACTTCTGGGGCAACATAATAAGGGCTACCAACCACATCCGTGAAAATTTCACCTGAGAAGACGCTATTTCCAGTCAGACTAAAAAGGAATCAGATACAGATTGGAGACAAATAACCTAATGTTAACGAATAAACCTCTCATTGCAATGAAATTTCTTCCTGAACATCATTATTCATGAAGAATAATCTTAAATTAATGTAATTGTACCATCACTGCTTGCCTATACATGCTTCTAACTGTGAAAGTTTATCTGATCGTCAGAACCAATACCCAACGTGTAACAGCCCAAACTTACCGCTAGCAGATATTGTCCTCTTTGAGCTTTCCTTTTCGAGATTCTCTTCAAGGTTTTTAAAATACGACTGGTAGGGAGATGTTTCCACACCCTTATAAAAGATGTTTCGTTCTCCTCCCAACCGATGTGGGATCTCAAATAATGTGTCCCTTGAAACAATCCGACAGAAATATGCAAAGCTTTGCTATACATGTAGTAATTCAAATTTTACGAAAAAATCATGATACATCAGAAAAAAATTTCTCTAATTAAATGCATATTATTTTGTGAAATCTGGCAAAATCAAACTAATTCATCCAAACAAAACCAACCCAGGCAAGATCTAAAATAATTAACCTTGAGGAGGATGATTTCAAGAAACTATTGCATCAAACTAAAAGAATCAGTTGTTATTAAATTGTTACCTGGCCTAAAGAACATGGAGAGCCCAAAATCTATGGTCTTAAGTGCAGACTCTTCTTCTTGACCGATGAAAAGAAAATTCTCTGGTTTTAAATCTCGATGCATGACACCCAAAGAATGACATGCTTCGACAACACCGACTATGGTTCTGGCTAATTCAGCCGCTTTTTTCTCTGTATAGTGGCCCCTCTGTATAATCCTATCAAACAATTCCCCACCTGCACAAAGCTCCATTACGACATGAACTGCCACAGCGTCCTCATAGGCCCCCACAATCTGTATCACATTAGGATGACCAGCTAAATGATGCATTATCTGTATCTCTCTTCGGACGTCCTCCACATCATCTTTCGTGGTCAATTTCCTTTTCGCTATAGATTTGCAGGCAAATTCTTTCCCGGATGTCTTTTCCACACAAAGAAACGTTGTCCCGAACTGCCCTTGTCCGAGCTTCCGCCCCAATGTGTAATGATCCTTAATATTATCTGTTTTTCGCCCTAATACCGAATCAGCTTGAAGCCCTGCGCTCGATACTCTCTTCATAGGAGTGGTCTTCTTCGATCTTGCACCCTCCGGTGCCCTGGTTTCGTTTTTAATCACTCTAGACGACATCTCGCGTTCCACTGCTTTGTGTGATTCATTACTACGCATTTTCACCTCATTATTACCAATTTTTACCGTTTCAGGCGGCGTATTTTGAACATCACTTTGGGGATCTGAATCCTTGGGAGCATCGGCGTTTTTAGATGAATCAGAACTCCCGTTTGTCTTACTTTTGCTGTCAGTTCCATCCTTGGGTGGAGGAAGGCCATCATCCGTTGGCCGGCTTGGCCATACTGCGGCCGTAACAGATTTCAAGAATCCATTGTTGCCTGGTCCTACACATATGTTCCCCATCAATTTACCAATCTCTAATTCCAACATACGAATCGATCCCTAACAATCCCATGAAGAACCAGATCATTCAATCCGAACCTCCATAATTAGATCAAATCGCCCCGAAGACACACAGCCGATGTCTTCGACTCAAGGATCTCAAAAACTCGATTGGTTAGCCAAAACACATGAAATCAGAAACCACAAACATCCTCAAACATGAATGAAATCATTCAACACGCGAAACGTCGTCCTCTGAAATTTCAAATTCGATCAATGTGTGTATATATAAACAGAGACAAATTAACAATGCGTATCAGCAATCAGATTCGAATTTCAGGAAAAATAAAACATGAACAAGAAGACGGAAAACAAAAAGAGAGGAGAATTTGGAGGAAAAGAAAATGGAAGAAAACAAAGGAAAGTGAAAGGAAAATGTTGAATTAGGGAGAAAGGTCGAAACCAAGTGGAGATCGCGGAATTGATTCAATTCTCTGAAATTGATCATCATCGTCAATCATTCAGCGATGGAAGCTCCTCGATCGATCAACGTTCAAGCTCCGAGCTAACCGAGAAGGAGAGATTATCGCTCAGAAACCTCCATCGATAATTTGTGCATGCATGGTTTTGGTTGAAGGTTCCCCATGTGCCAATTCTTTTTATTTTTTATTTTTTTATTTTTTCACTATGATTATATTTTAGATATATTTTTGGAATAAGCCACAGCAATTTCTTTTTATTTTATTTTTAAAATCTGGTAATTTTCCATTTTTATCCTCAAATTTTGAAATATATTCCAAAAATAACATTGAAAAGCTTTTTTTTTTTTTTTTTTTTTTTTTTAGAATAAAATAAAAAGATT